GGGCTCCTGTATCACATCATTGGCTCTTATTGAGTTTGGTAATTTTCACGGACTACTATTCCAAGTGAGAACATTATTCCATGTCATCGACTATCGGAGCTTTCCCATAGCAACAGCCTGCGCCTTTCTCACAGCTGCCTGAACCCACTGACCTGTATGTGGTTCATGGGGTCATAAGATTTCCAAGGACAAGGTTTTCCGAAATCCATCCTTGAATGTACTGGAGACTGCCCTTCAGGAGGAAAGAAACAACGTCAACAGACACAGTCAGAGCACGGAGAGAAGTGGATGCATGAACACTGGAGGGGTGTCAAGATTGTGCTACAGATCTGTGACAGGGAGTGAAACTGTACAGTAATATGACAGAGAGTAATAAATGTGCATGGTTGAGTAGCAAATGGCCACTAGATCTGTAGTCTCTGGCCTCGCAATTCAATCCTTTTTGCTACTTTTGTTGCCACATAGACTTCACCGCTATGAATGTGTATTTCTTCAGGTGTACTGAGGCACCTTGCATCCAATCAGGGTCACGTTCTACGCATCCATGTAAAGGAACCAGAAAAGTGTTTCACTTAAATGCTTGGATTCTGTTTGATACATTTTTTTTTTTTATTGAAGGGACAGGCTATTTGCATGTTAATCAATAACATGGATCGTTCAGTATAATTTTATGGTTTATTTGTAATTTATTTGTTTTGCTTTACTCTTGGTTCCATCATTAATCGTTGGGACGAACATAGAAACGCGAGAAGAAATGTAATGACACCTTCATTTCTCGCATAGACTTGTAAGGCCGTGAATATTTTTGTTACCTGTCCATAAGAGCTTTATTTTGGGATTTTTTAATGTGTGTTGGACATATCGTATATTGGAAGGATTGATGATGTTATTGTTGCTTCCAGTTCTTCACTTTGCCATTTAAAGTACAACATATCTGGGACGTTTAGCTGTTTTTCTCATTGTGCCTAATGGTATATCCTCATGCATCATGGTTTACACAATACTTTGATATATACTGCAGATGGTATGCTTGGATAGACTTTCTTAATAATTATGACTTTGGTTTTAATAATATTATTTTGACCAGCCGGGAACTGTTTTACGAGCTATTTATAGTCGCAAGCCCCAAATTATCAGTACCCCTGGCAAATCTTGGACTTAAAGTAACCTTTCTCTCAACCAGCAAGTTTTTCTTGATGTGCGAAATGACACAGGCGTTCCCAGAAGGTAATAGACGATGTTCTATGCATCAGGAGGCATGCGATGCTGGAAAAAATATAATAATAGCTATTTAGTTTACATTGTGACAAAAGAGTGTTCCGAAATTCATTTCATACCCTTCATCAATATGTCAATAGAAAAGCCGTTTAGTTGCTAGTGTACAGCAAGTCAAGCGGCTTCCATAATTCGCACTGACCAGCTTTTTGCGATATCTCCACGGGTATTTTTGCCTATTCAGTCCTTTAGCATGGCAGCTCCAACTCATTCAGGTTTGTTGGGGAGGGTCTCACCCTGTCTTTAACGCTCCCACTCCACAGATTCGTAAGTTTGGAATTCAAGTTCAGGACTCTTGGCGGGCCACTGCAAAACGTTAATTTTTTGTCCACACACCATTTGCTTTCGCACATGCTTTTGGCTGTGTGCTTTTTGGTTGTCTGATTGGTTGTGCTGAAATGGTCCACTTGGTGCCCAAAGGCCAAGTTTCTCTGCAGAACTGCTGATGTTGGTTGTTGAGAAATTCTTGATGGTATTCGTGGCCCCTTTTTCATGGTGCCAGTTTACTTGTGATTAGATTCCCTGCGGTGCCAATTGGCTGAAAAACACCCCAAAAAGCATTAGGTTCCCAACCATCATAATGTTTTGACGGGTGGTGTTCTTGGGGGTTTGAAGGTTCTCCTTTTCTTACGCCAGGATGCAAGGACTCATCATTTGTGGCTAAACAATAAAATTTTTTCTCTCATCCGACCATGAAGAACAGAAAGACCAGAAGTCGATGACTTTTTCGAGGTGAGCTTTGCGAAGGAAGCGGGCTTTGGTGC